AAAATTTTATTAAGATTTTTTATTTTATGATCTTAAGTAAACTTATTCTCTAGATATTAAAGAATATATATATAAATATTTATATTATTTGAATAATTATTCAATTCATTATAATTAAAAAACTAACTATTATTTTTTTATACATTACTATATATAAATATATATATAATTTTTCTAAAAAAAATTTTTTATATTAATTTTTTAATTTAAAAAATTAATTAAAAAAATAATATTAATATTCTTTAATAAATAATTTTAAGTAAATTTTTTTATAAATATCAAAATATATATATTAATTTTTATATAAATTTAATTAATTATTATTATATAATTACTTTTTAAATTTATTTAAAAACTTTTTTAAATTATTATATTAGTATACTTATTAATTATTTTTATTTTTAATTTTATTTATTTAATTTAAATAAATTATTTTTTTTATCTTTATTATTTGATCTATTTTTATATATTATAATCTTCTAGTTACAGTAACGACTAAAAGTAATAACTCAGAGGCTAAATTTACTAATAAAACATAGAGAAAATTTCAATTTTCACTATGTTTTATTAATAAATTTAGCCTCTATGTTATTACTTTTGGTCATCACTATATATAATTAAATAAAAATAATTAATATATTATATAAATATAAATTAATTTAATATAATTCAAATTTAATAGAAATTTTTATAATAATATTAGTAAAAAAATAAAAAAATATTAAAATAATTTAAGTTTAAAAAATTAATTAATGCTTCTAATTAATTATTTTCTTTATTTTACTTTCTATTTTATTTTAAATTATTCAAATAGTAAAATCTTTTTTTATTTATAATAAATATATAAGTATTAATTTGTTAATATAATAATTTTATATTTAATAAAATTTATTATTATCTTATTTTTATAAAAGTTTTTTTTAAATTCTTTTTATAAAAATATAATTTGATTCTTATAGAATTTGTTCTTATATAAAGATGATTTTTAATATCTATACTTTTCTTATTCTTATAAAAAGACTTTATTGTATAAAATATTTTTATAAAGAAATATATAAATTATTTTTTCTTTATTAATTTTATATTTAATTTTTATTTCTTGTTAATTTAATTAAGAATAATAAAATAAAAATTTTCAAACTGACTAAAGAATTTATTTTTTAAAGAAAACTTTATTATAAGAATATAATTTATTATTCTTTGAAACAAAAAAAACGATTTATCTTAAACTAGATTTATTTTATAATAACTTTATCTTATAAAATTAATTGTGCACTTAACATTATACATAATCAAAATGAAATTAATTTTTAACAGAAAATTGAACCAATCACATAATTGTCAAGTTTAGACTTCCTGCATTTTTAAATCTATTCTTTTAAAATTGATTGTATTTATTGGGTGCGACTAGGTTTGATGCACCATATTAGTTGCATATTTTACGATACTTGTATTTATTTAAAGCGAATTTGAGCTTATGAAAGTTGCATTTAGAAATACAAAATCGGTTCATACAATTAGTGTAATCGATACCATTTTTGTCATAAGTGTTGCAGCTCTTGCTTAATTAAAAATTAAGACAAATAATTAATCAAAATTATTCTATTATAGTGGTTGTTATTTTGATCACCTAGTCCAGTAAATAGAAAAAAATAGTGAATGGATGACCGAACATTCAGCGGATTATTGAAATTGTTCCAAATTAATATTTATGATCATTATTATTTTTTTATATTTAATTGCCGTAGCTCTTTTAACAACGTAACTTCCGTCGCGATTTTTTGAATCTTTAATGTAAAAAATATACGATGGATATCAACAAGCGCTATTAATTAGATTATGTTCACATTAACCAATTAATAAAAAACTAACCTGTGTCTGCTCCAATTTTTCTCCATTTGTCTGCCGTTCCTTAAGTTCGGCAATCTGTCGTAACTTTTTGGTCAAATTACGAATTTTCTTTTCCGTCTCACTTAATGTAGTATTAGTGCCCGATTGTGACGATGGCAGATTATTACTATGGTTATTTGTGATTAATACATCTGCTGTTATTGTGGAATCGGTGAAAGCTGATGATAATGATGATGAAGACGATTTTGTTGATATCCCATTGGTAATAGCTGATGCTGTCGTGTTAGATATTATTCGGTCGACTAGTAGTAGGTATACATGATATATAGATATGGAATTAATCAATGAACGAAATTATAAATAAAACGAAGATTATTACCTGGCTCAACAACAGAAGCCACACTGCTACTACTGCCATTTTCCTCCCTCTTCTTTTTGGCAGCTCTCTTTTTATTTTTAGCAGCCGCTTTTGACAATGCTATAAGATTTTAATCGATGATGTCGTTAATGTCAATATCGCCAATAAAAATCTATATTTATTATTCACAGAGTTTGCTTACATTCTGCATTAGTAGCATTCGTTGATACGCTCTTGAGGCCATTCTGGTGGGTCGGTGATTTTAACGTTGTTTCGTCTTCGCGCTAAATTTAATTAATTCATTAAGTTAATTACAATAGCAGAAGAACTAAAAGATATGCACTAATAAAAGACCTTGAAATGATCGGGTGTCGCCTGACCGCGTGCATGTGGAGGCCTATAAGCTCCTTTTGCTTTTTGAAGACATGGATTAATTAAATCAATATATATCGTTTGATTAATCATCACTATAAAAAAGAAAAATCTATAAGGCTTACGAGTTGACTTGACAGCAAACTCTTGTATATTTTTCGCGGCGGGAGGAGCAGGAGACAACGAGGATCGCATGGGATATAGTTCGACACTGGCGGGACGCCATCCAACCTGTGTGTCCATGAAGATGACATAATTCAATTATAATGTATATATCTTACAATAAGTTTACAATAGACCTCCATAGACATTACTCCATTAATTTCTTGTTCCACAATACAGTACATACGTATAAACTCAAGTAAACTATAGTTATTAAACTGCTTAGCTACGATGAGCTTCCACAAAACGATAAAGATGAAAATAACGTTATTACAAACCTGCAACAACTCATTGATATTCCTAGCATATACCAAAACGCCAGTATAATGCCATATCTTATACCCGTTATCGACACGTAATCGTGGACTAAGCGTCGCCGTCATAATAAACCGGCCATCAGGCGACCACGCACACTCTGACGAATTTGGCGCCTCGATCGTGACGAGTTTTTTCAGCGTTTTTCGATCCCAGATGTCCATTGTGCCAGCGAGATTTCCGAAACCGGCAATGAAGATGAGTGGAAGATGCAAGTAAATATGTTGACGTGGTTAAGGATATGTTCATTTTTTTTTGATTGATAAATAAATATAATATGATTGAATACGAGTATCGTATTTATTTTTGAGAACAATTTATGTTCAAGAAATTAAAAAGAAATAGAAAGGATATGGCGTCCTTGAGGATTGAATTGTACGGTGTTTCTTGGGTTTATGCCAAACTCATAAGCTATGTTTGCGCGATGATCGAATAGTGTTGCTTTTGCGGGCATATCTAATAAATGAATTAATTTTAGTTTATTATCTCATGAAAAGAAAATATACGATATTCAAATATTAACATACACCCATAAACGACTATAAATTCTTTGGAGTTGGGGCTCCATGCGACATCATGAATTGGACCTTCTTTATCTGTGATAATAATTGAGAAAATCATCAATAAGAATAATAGAGAAACATAATTTCTTATTCAGAGAATATAAAAAATATACCAAGTTGAACACGGCAGTCATAATTACCAGCCGACGCCAGAAAATATAAATTTGTTTCTATTAAATATAAATAAAATAAGTTACACAACTATAAAGTACCATTTCATCTCCCAACAAAAATCACGTAAAACCGATTTCTTCTTTATACGTAAAAAACATGCATCATTTTCATACCTCCATAATAAGATTTATTTGTCTTATCCACATCGGTATGCGTCAAAACTAACAAATTAGTCCCGAGATCATTCCACTTCATCTGAATTTTATCTGCTTTGAAGAACGTTTTCTGCGCAAGGGTGACATTGAAATTCGTTATTGAGAACATTTGGACTCTGGCGGGTGCGCCCTGTATTTTTATATGAATGTCATAAATTATTGATTATATTTATTCCCGAATATGATAATTTAGATAGAATTGCAAAAAAAAAGAATATACCTTTTTCTCAGGAATAAACACGACTATTGACGGACTCTTACCGGGTGACAATGAAAAATCAGCGATTCCCTCTAAACGTAGTCTCGAATGTACGCCCTTATCCACTCGTTTACTATCAAAAAATTGTACTTCATTTGTGACCATGCGACAGAAAAATGCCTCATCGTCTGTCCATTGAACGTTCCTGAGAATTAGGTACAAATCGGAACGCAGTGGAAATGACAATACAATAATGATAAAGATAAGTACAAGTAGGAATCCAAAGATCAACAAAAAACGAATAGGTAGAGCCGGATATATATGTGTGTGTGTGAGAATAAAAATCTTGTTACCAATTATTCTGACTTTTCTGTGTAAAAGATATGAGTTCTTCACCAGACTCGACTTCCCACAAGATAAGATTCTTATGAACAATATTCTCTCCGAGTTTAACTTTATTCACAAAAAAAAATGAGCGTTCGATCAACTATGTTATATATCAAAAATCCTTAAATCATAACACATACCAGGCCGTTCCCAAGTAGATATATACGTGCCCTTTGGCGAAAACCCAATTTCAACTACGTTTTTTCGTGGAATCTCCTTTACTATTTCGGTTGTTTCTGTGTCAATCACGACAACCCTTTTTGATTACATTTGATTATAGTGAATCAATCAAAAACAGTTAAATCAAGATCATCTTCTGAAAAATGAAATAGTATATCATTAAGAATAATTACATTTCTGACGATGCCCAGCCAAAATATCGACCATCCTTACTATACTGAAACGTCTTGATATCGTTTTTTCTAACAAAAAGAAAGTATTCTCATTTAATGAACTGATCTTTTTAATGAACTGACATTTTAAATACCATATCTAGAATACGCGAAATAAAAAACGGTAATATCTCACTCTGAAAAATTTTTTATACTGTTGTAGTCTGGGTGACCGTGCGATAGTTCCACGCAGCTTACCGACCGATCTTAACCACAAAGAAGATTCAAAACCAATATTATTAGCATTCCCTCGTGAACAAATAGGGCGTTTAACGACATTCTGTCACTTATAATAAAAAAAACTTACAGGCAAATTGAATTGGGGAAACTTTCGCTGTTGTTGTCGTCGTTGTTGACATTTTGTATGATAAAGATAGTAAAATTTTGTATGGTGCATATCAATCAAATTTCGGGATTACATGTATTTTGTGTTCCAAAAAGCACGTGGAATTGACATTATCAGTATGGGTAACATATAGAAATGCGTAGTTCTTTTGGGTAAGATTACATGAACATGCTCACTTAGGTAATCATGAACGAATGCCACGCGGTAAATGTAATTTAATTTAATTTGAAAAGTTTTTTCTTGTTTCAAACTTGCAAAGCTAGCAAAAGCTAGCTGTTCGTTCTTCTTTAAGAAAAGAAAAAAAGGTTAGCATTGTATACAGCCAAAGTTCAGAACACTTTTGAGCCTGTGTAACGAAAAAATTGTCACCTTTTTGGAAATTAACCTGGCCATGACAAGATAGGCGGTGCAAGATATACATCGATCTTGGTTGGCTCGCCAACTTAGAAATCATGTTATTTGGACTTTTTTGTTTCCGACTCTGTGTAACTGCTAACCCTGTTTTAGTCCTAACCCTAACTTACACAGCGTCACCTGGTCACCTGTAAAAAAAATGGGTGGCCGATAAATTTTATATATTAAGATTGTAAATTTATCACATTTTTCATTTGACACTAGGATCATATGTTCACGATAAAAATTATACATAATTTTTTGCTAGCATTAAGAAATAAATTATGTTATAATTTTGGCCAACATTACTCACATTATCTGAAGCATGTCAAACGTTACATAATTTTGTCTAACATTAAATCATTTCGATTTTAAATTAGCCCGCTTAAGTCATGTGATTTATAATAAATTATCAAAAATTCTTTATAATGCAATATTTTTCTTAAATACAAGCTCCAACTCTGATTCAAATATATATTTAATCTCTATAAATTTTTATTATAATCAGAGCTCTTTATAGTTATATCTTTTTCATAACTATAATTAAAAAATATTTAGTATTATACTTTTTATAAATATTTAGTTTTATTTCTTAAAGCAGTAATTATAAAGAGATTTAATTATATTTTCTAAATATATATATCAAAAAGTTAATTTAAATAGCATTTAGAAAGATATAATTATACAAATTTATTAATTTTGAAAAATTATTTTAAAATTAAAAGTATAATTATATATTTCTTTTTTAATATTATATAGTTATTTATTAATTAGATTAAGTTAAGTTTAAAATTATTTAAATGTGATAAGATACTTTTTTTATATTTATTATCTATTTGCTTTTTTATATATTCTAGTTATTATTTATAACTTATATTTTATAATAAATATTCTATTATTCTAATTATTATTTATAAATTTTTTTAATTATCTTTTTTTCAAGTTTGAATTTTAATAAAACTAGTTTTATATGATATAATAATATATACTTTATATAATAAAAGCTTTTCTAATATATGGGTCGGTGCAAAAATATCTGTACCTCAATATAAAAATTAATAATTGCT